TGACTAACAAATGGTGTTCTGCCATTGACACAGCGCTAAGAAAAGATGACATTTTTTAAAAGTAACCTCATCGCTCAAAGCAAAGACTACATATACCAAAGAACTCAAGTGTTGCAAGAAATGGTTCCAGCCCTAGCACAGATGTTCATTTCTTGTTCTCTCATTGCGCTTCTCTCCACCCAGCGGTGTAAATAGGTATGGACAAACTGGGTTGGGTGGGGGTTCCTGCGATGAACAGGGATCCTAAGCAGAGGGATAGGCAGTACTCCTTATAGTTTCATGACAAAGAAACGTGGATAAGTTCCAGCAGTAATGGGGCCAGTAAGTTCGCAAGAAGTAAAATTAAAAGAAAAAAGAATTAAATGGTGAGAAATATTCATTTCACACAACATGCACATTCCTTGAACAAAGAATTACAAAGAATAGAGATACTGAGTAACAGCGTACAGGAGAATGTCGTTCTCTTACCCATTAATCAGTGTAAGTTTCTTTCCCAGGAAATCAGTTAGGATTGGCAACAGCAAGGCACTTATAGAGGCCACCTGAATTTCTAGAAGATACATTGCACCATAAAGGCCAGAGATCTATTATAAAAAATATACAAGTGTGAGTCAACTTTTCTTTGAAAGTCAGAAATCAAAGCTGCAATGCAGAGAGCATTTCACGTAACCTCCGTCTGCCCTCTTATTAGCCCCGGGGCACTCTAGGGCTTCCAAATGGGGCAGGAGTTGTTAGGAGTGGTGGGGAGGACACTTAGGCGAGAGAATCATTTTGAAACCTTAAACTCTAGGACACAACCATAAGAAAATAAAATGATGTCAATTACCTGGAGGGGAACATGTGGACTTCTAAGTGAAGATTCCACTATCTTACAAACTCTGTCAGCGGTTGCCCCTTCCTGAAGAACAATAGCACATTGCAATTTTATGGCGACACATAAAGCTTGATTCTTAGTGATTGGATTTGCGCAAATCGTCTCAAAAAGCAAAGTGTAGTGGTTCTTCAACCGCGATAATAGTGGATGCGAGAGCTTTTCGTAAATTGTGGGTTTGAATAATATTTTGAAAGTTTACGTAAGTGCACGAGCTGTAGGGGAGTGCTTTTTACTCCCTTACCCACTAATTCCTAACAATGACCAACATCTTATTTCTCCCAACAGTAACACAGCTGGATCAATCATTACCACTCCTGTAGGGGAGTGCTCTTTAAGTTACTCCCTAACCCACTAAATCCTAACAATGACTAACATCTTAGTTCCCCCAACAGTATCACTGCTGGATCAATCGTTAAAATCATGAAAATAACGGAAATGATCACCAACTAAAGAAACTTATGATCTGAACCTAATTTTTTACGTCAGTATCACACAGTTAACACGATGGATTTATATTGAAGTTAGGGTGTAAGTCAAAGTAAATGGGAAGTTCAAGTAAACTGAGTTAGAGACAGCGAGTTTCTATAGCAAGTCCAACTGTCTTACCGTCTTAAGGAAAGCTAAGGCTTTACAGAGTGTAGGCAGCAAGTACTGAATCAACAGATCATCTTCTGCTGAATGATTGTGATGTAATTCAGAAAGAGTTTCCAGAACCCATTCAAAGTGTGTTCCGTCAACGAACAGATCAGACAACACCAAAAGCTGAAAAAGAAAAATGCCGATCATTTTTAAGTTGCTTAAAATAAAGTACAGCAAGGAAAGACTACAGGAGCGACGCGACAGATTCAAAGGGATTTATGCTACCATCTCAGGTATATATTATCTGCTTTGCTACCACCTAAACCAATCAGATACAAAACTGAAGAAGCAATCGCGACCTGACTACTCTCATGTCATGCGCATTACGCAGTTTTCTTTCCTTTCTTCTGATTGGCCGCTGTGATTACTTTGGTTTTGGTTTTACATCTTTTCGTCAAAAAGCGCTTTACTGGCACCAGACCTGAACTCACCGCTTTGGTTGCCTCGGATAAGAGTGCCAAAGGAGTCCTGGGATGGATATACGGCGACATCCATTGTTCAAAGAGCTCCAGAAGAAATTGCTCGCAGGACTTGATGTCGAGCTTTTCAGGTTGAGGCATGCGCGGAAGGGAAACCACAACAGCAGAATCGTCTTCACTATCGTACCTTTCTTGGAGTTCGTTTTGAGCCTGACTGTGCAGTGCGCCCACGGATATCTGATAAACACAAGTAGTAAGCATAGCACTTCTTCAAACTCTACAATTCGTTTTCGTATATACTTCAGTTCGGCCTGCGAAATTTAATTTTTGATGTTTTTTTTTATCACCTTCTATCAAAAGGGCTACCAAACGAGTAGTAAGCATAGCATTTCTTCACAACTCTACAATTCGTATCACGATATAACAGGCATTTTAAGCGACAAAATTATTAACAAATTCTCTTTATATCATCAATACATTATCCTGCAACCCGGTGATACGAGACAAACATATCAGTAAGTGGGTGTTTCTCAACATAAAACCAAATTTTCTTCACTAGTTTGCCAAGAAATGCATAGCAGGTAAATGGAAGAGTTGAGACTGAAAAGATCTTAGGAGTTTCAGGGTTGTGGCAATAGGGAACTATAGAGCCCCAAAGAGAACTTTTTGGTGAAGGAATTGAAGAGTCAAAATAAAAATAACCTTGATTCAGTTTAACTGATTCTTTGGTATCTTATTTTATTCCACAGAATGCCGTTCGTATTGCATCCTCAAAACAAAGACAAAA